AAACCTCCCAACCATCATCACAAATAAAGCAAAGGAGCCCTGGGCCTCCATGCTTAAGATATAACACCAAGAACTGTACCTCCCAAATGCCAAATCTCCAATCACAACCCCCTAACCCATAACCCGAAATAACCCCCAGCTCCACAGCCACCAACACCAAGTCCAAAAAGGGAGCCTTTGGCCTCCCAAATAGATCAATACATATATGGCAAAGGAGTCCTGAACCTCCATGCCTATGATAAAAATCCATACACCTTAGTAGTCAAAAGTATGAGTAGCCATTTCCCGAAAATATGTGAAGAAGAGAGAAATCCAACCTAATGATATCTTGGGCCGATCCAAGCCACTCGGCCACCCAAACTGATTCAAGAGGAAACATCCCTACGAATATAAGGAGCATCAATATTATCACCAACCAACATAGTATGTAAAGAAGGGGGGAGTAGATCCCACCCTACAAATTTGACTAGATCCTCCTAAGTTAGCAAGCCAATTAGCGGGTTGATTACCCTTCCGGTAATTGAAACTCCATATGAAATTCATATTAGAAATTATTCTTCTTTTTAATATATATATATATATTTTTATATATATATATATATATATATATATAGATAGATAAACATACATACATATATATAAACTAGTCAAACATAGAGAAAATAAAAGTAAAAATTTAATTAAGTAAATTGTATTAAAGATGAAGATAATAAAATACTTTTCTTAAAAGTAGATATTCAACATAGGTGGGTAAGCTATTTTAATAAACTTTTCAATGAAGTTTTTTCAATGAAGTTTATAAAAATATGATTGACCTTAGTGATCTTAATATTGTTAATAATAATAAAACATTTTATTTTTACCATTACAATAGTAAAAATAAGTTGAAGAGGCTTTAAAAAGAGTCAAGGGTGAAAAATCAGTAGGACTTGATGATATCCCTATTGAAGTGTGGAAATATTTGGGAGACTTGAAAGTTCTTTGGTTTACTAAACTCTTTAATATTATTTTAAAAACTAAATTGATGCCTAAAGTGTGAAAAAATAGTATTTTGATCCCTATTTTAAGAATAAAGGGGATGCATGAGAGTGTGCTAATTATAGAATAATTAAGTTGATGTGTCATACTTTAAAATTATGGGAGAGGTTTATTGAACATAGGATAAGGTGATATAAAAATTTCTCATAATCAGTTTGGATTTATTCCAGGTAGGTTTACTATGGAAGCTATACATTTATTGAGAGGTTTTATTGAGAAGTACAGAGAGAGTAAGAAGGATCTATATATAAATTTTATTGATTTAGAAAAAAATTACGATAAGGTTCCAAGAAAGGTTCCAAGAGAAATTTAGGTTCCAAGAGAAATTTTTTGGAGAGTTCTAGAGAAAAAAATGTGTTGATTTGACTTATATTCATGTCCGTAAAGATATGTATACTAGAGATGTTACATGTGTTCGAAAAGTAGGATTGACCAAATATTTTTATGTTGGATTACTTCAAGGATCGACTTTAAGCCTATATCTTTTTTTGCTTTAGTTATTTTTGCTTTAGTTATGGATGCGCTTATTGGACATTTACAAGAGGATGTACCTTGGTGTATGCTTTTTGCTGATTATATCCTTCTTCTGGATGAGACTAGGGGAGTTCAAGAAAAACTTGAATTATGGAGGTCTATATTAGAGTCTAAAGGCCTTCGTTTGAGTAGAACTAAAACTGAATTCATGGAAGGTAATTTCAGTAAGTAGTAGCTCTAAGGGTAGAGTTGTAACTATAGGTGATCAAATCATTAGAATTTGTAAATGTTTTAGATATCTTGGGTCTATTGTTCAGAGGGATGGTGTTATAGATGGGGATGTTATTAGTGGAATTCATGTTGGTTGGTTGATGTGAAGGAATTCTTCGGGTCTGTTTAAATTTAGAAAAGTGTTACTTAAATTGGAAGGAAAATTTTATATGTGGTGGTGAGACCTGTAATGCTCTATGGCGCAGAAAATTGGCCTTTAAAAGAGAAGCATAAAACAAAGTGTTGCTGAGATGAGCTTGCTTTGGTGGAAGAGTGGTTGACACTTAGGGATAAAATTCGAAATGAATATATCCGTGATAGGGTTGGTGTAGCTCCGGTGGCGGACAAGATTAAAGAGAATCGTCTTAGATGGTTTGGTCACATTAGTTGTTGACGATCTGATGATCCTGTTAGGAGATTAGATGTTTTAGCTCCGACTGACGTTAAGAAAGGCATGGGTTGACCTAAAAAGAATTGGGCATATTGTATAAAAAAAGATCTTAATCTATTATAATTAAATGAAAATATGACACTCAATAGAACACAATGGAGAAAAATGATTATGTAGCTGACCCCACTTAGTCTGATAGAGTATTGTTGTCATTGTAAGTTAGGTGCGTTCTAATTAATAGAAGCTTTGCTTTGATTTGCTTTCCGCGCATTGTAGTAAAAAGAAAGCCTTGCTCATAGAATTGCACCTAGCACTACAAAAAAATTGCAGAATACAAAAATTAAAGAAGCTACTAAAACATTTGAAACTTAAATTTTGATGATTGAAGCGATACCAACTGTAAAATTGCATTTTGAAACCTTTCTTGGGTTGGCTTTTTGAATTATCATTTTTCAAGCATTTCTTTTAAGCACCTAAGGAGTTGTTAATTCTATTTTGCAAACTTTTCTGAACAATTAATTATTACCGTGCCACATGGTGCCATTTTTTAGTTGTAATCTTTCTATGCTAATTTTGTCTGCCAATCTTGTTGTGCATTTCTATCTTTTATTAGGCATGCTCAAGGCACCTGAATCTATTTTCAATGCCTTCTCAGTTAATTTTGTTTTTTCTTTTTAAATCCATATCTCATAGAAAAATCAGTTTATTTTTTGGTTCCGGGTACCATTGAGTGGCTTGATTGAATTAAATTGTAACAAAAACTCAATATATATATCTGGATGCCCTCTCTGTGTTTCTCCCATAGACATCATACTATCCCACTCCTACAATCATGCGCTTTATGACTTTCTGGCCTCCACGACTACAATGTTCATTCATCTACCTGGAGGTCCCTTTTGTGGAAGGCTCACATTTTTGATTTAATAAAATTTGGAGGGGCCTTCTCTTTTTGTGCATGTTGCTTGTTGGAAGGGGTTGGTGGTGGTTATGCACTGCACACCAAAATTTAGTTCTGTGCTGCCATAGTTCTGATGGCTCTTTGTGTAGTTAAGTTTTATAAAAATTATCTTTCTGTTGTTATTTTGTGTTTACTGCAAATTTTGTAATACATTATCCCGTGAATCTAAAGTTTTTGCTGCCCATTATTCTGCTTTTTCAACGTTTTTGCCGAAGCTGTTTTGTAGACTAATCAGATCCCCATTTTATTTGATTTGTTTTTTTAACTTAATGCCTTCTAATTGTTGAAATTTTGTTTTTTTTACCAGACTAGGTGAAGCTATTGATAGGACGGTGCTTGGTCATCTTTTAAAGATGTTTACTGCTCTAGGCACTTATGCAGAAATCTTTGAGAAACCCTTTCTTCAAAGTACTTCTGACTTCTATGCTTCTGAGGGTGTTACATACATGCAACAGTCCGATATTCCAGACTACTTGAAACACGTGGAGGTGTGTGAAATCTGCACACAATTATAGTCAAAAGGGGGACTTCATTTGCTTGATTTCCATGTTTCTGTGTGTTTGTATAGATGTTGGCGCATTTATGATGATAAAGACACAAGTTCACACATTATTTGTAAATAGTCTCATGCATGTTCACATAAGCATTACTTTAGTCCCCCAAGTTATCCTGATTTTGCCTTTGCTTAATTTACTGCAAACTGCAGCTGAGGTTACATGAAGAACATGAGAGGTGCATGCTCTACTTAGATGCAAACACAAGGAAGCCACTTATTGCTACCACAGAGAAACAACTTATGGAACGACATACATCTTCTATTCTTGACAAAGTGATGTTTTTACAACCCATTTTCCTAGTGCTTTCTTACTTATTCTATGCAGTTCATCTGCTTCATCCCGGAGAACTTTATTTACCAGGGGTTCACAATGCTCATGGATGCAAAGCGTGTTGATGACCTTAAAAGGCTATATACTCTTTTCCTGAGGGTGAATGCCCTTGAGTTGCTAAGACAGGCCCTAGGATCATACATCAGGGGCACAGGACAGGGTATTGTTATGGACGAAGAGAAGGACAAAGATTTGGTTTCATGTGTCTTGGATTTTAAAGCATCTCTTGATACAATATTGGAGGAAAGTTTCTCGAGAAATGAAGCTTTTTCAAATACCATAAAGGATTCCTTTGAACATCTAATAAATCTTCGTCAGGTTTGTGCACATCTCATTTTCTCCTGATTTGCATATTTTCATCTGCTCCGCAACACCTTATATAATTGTACTTCTCATAATTTTTTGCCTCAATTTGTCACTATTTTTTTGGAAATTATTTTTGCTTACTGTGGCACTATAGAAAGTCAAATTTTGTTAATCTGAACCAAAAAAAAAAAAAAAGAAAGAAAAAGGGTGGACATCCGGGACTTTACTTACCAGAATGTTAGTAAAGAGGGTCCTACACTTGCTCCTACTGCCTAAGTTTATGCAATGCTATTGGCTGAAGAATAAGTTTCTGTGTTCATTTCTTGTGTGGTAGAATGGCAAAATATTTTCATGGGGCTTTCTTACTTATAATTAAGATTTTTGTATTTAGCTTTAAAAGTTACTACGAAGACCTTAGCTATACGAAACAATTTTTTTTCTTCTCTTGCTTAGTAGTTGTTATGCACCATAACAAAATACAGGTGGATAAATTTTTATTTACCAAATATCCAATGCAATTTCCTATTTTATTGCGTTTGGATAATGTGTCGATTGGGTTTGCGTGCTTCTATAATCATACTTCTTTTCCAACGAGTTATGAAACATTTAAGGCACAATTTTTGTGGTCCGCTTTGTTAGGCCATATCTCATTACCAACTTGTGATTTTTAAGTTTTTCTTTGTTCGTGGCAGCTTCTAATCAATTGATCTTGCTACTTTCTTTTGAGCAATTATAATCTGCTACTTAATCTTAAGAAAAACTCAGACAGATGGGAAAGCCTCTGATGTTTTGGCGTTTATGGCATATAATAACCTTTGTGCTAGCTCGAATACTTGGTTTGATTCTATGTCTAAGATTTACTATTTGCCAATATGTCTCTCTGAAGCTGTGCATAAATTATCACAGCAGATTCCTAGACCTTTTTTCCAAGCAATTCACTGTAAAATTTAAGTGGCAAGATTAGGACCTATTTAATTTCTGTTTAACAGAATAGACCGGCAGAACTGATTGCAAAGTTCTTGGACGAGAAGCTTCGTGCCGGCAACAAGGGTACTTCTGAAGAAGAGTTGGAGGGCACCCTTGATAGAGTTTTGGTCTTATTCAGATTCATACAAGTATGTGCCAAGTATATTGAGAAGTTATTTAACACTGCTCTTGGTTTTGTATTACTTCTAGACACATTTTCTAACCAGCTTGTTAAATAAATCTTTTTTTTTGTTTTACATTCTTAACATTCTTTCCTTTTTGTGTTAATTCACGAACAGGGTAAAGATGTTTTTGAGGCATTTTATAAGAGAAAGAGTGCATCAATTGATGCTGAAAAATCGATGATATCAAAAGTAATGCCTGCTTTGTTGAAGAATTTCCTGATGATCAGTTATCATTTTGCATTTTCCTTTTTTAGATTGTCAATTTTAATAACGAGAAGCTTATTTGATTTCAGTTGAAGACCGAGTGTGGTAGCCAGTTCACTAATAAATTGGAAGGAATGTTTAAGGTATGTATCGGTGTTTTCATACATTAATCATTGCTTTGTAACTATTCTCCACACGGACTATCTTTATTTTTTTCTTTGTGCATTATGGTGAGTGGATGTACCAATACTCTCCGGTTACTTTTGAACTTAGAAGCCATTTGGGATTACTTTTATTATTGTTTTTTATTTTTTTTGTTTTATTTTGTTGATATTTGATTTGAAATAAAACTTGTTTGGCGGCGATGGTTGTTTTTTTAAAACATATAAATCTTGTAAAGATATTTTGTGTTTTTAAAAGCAAATTAATTTATGCATTGAACACACCTGTTTTAAAAGCGAAAACAAATTAAGAAAACAAAAATGATTTCAAACAACCTCTGAATTTATTATGCTGTTTTCCATCAATCCTATCACCTTATTTTTTTTCATTTTTCTTTGGTTGAGTCATCAATCCTATCACCTTATTTTTTTTTTTCATTTTTCTTTGATAACTCAACCATACATTTTTGGATTAATCTGTCATAAAATTCATCATTTTAATCAATTTACTCTTCTAAAAGATTTCTTTTTTAGACGGCTTATGTAATACATTCTATTTTTACTAATTTTATCTCTCTAATGTTTTTTTATTTTAATTTCAATTTGATCATGATATTTAAAACGTATAACTCATAAAATTCTCTATTATCTCTTTTATCTCTCTTTTTTATTTTGGTTGCCATCTTCATTAGCCTTATCTCAACTATATCTCATTTTATTTTTACTTAATACATAGCTTATTATGTAATTCATGAAATTTTTTTACTTTGAAATTTTGTCACTCTTTTTTTTTTTTTGCAGAACTTCTAGCTTCGTTGTAATTTTTTTTTTTCGTAATATTTTTTTTTGCCATTCTTCAAAATAAATTTCTATGAATAAATAATCTTTTGTACTCTTTAAATCCATGAATTCTTTTTATGTGCAATCTATTTCTTACCCCAGTTAGACTATTTTTGACAATTTTCTTAAAGCAGTTAGACATAATTTAAATTTGTAAAATGTCCATTTCAACAACATTATCGAAGATTAATTATTTCTAATCTCTTATATCCCTTCTTTTATTGGCATAACTATTTTTTTATTATTTTTTTAAAGAAAGAAAAAAGATTTTGACGTCATCTTACAATCTCAACGAAAGAAAAGTTCTAATTTAATTAAAAAATATAAATATTTTATTCGTTTCCATTATATTTAATATGTTTATATGTTGTTTTTATCATATTCATATGTACCATGAGTCCTTATCTCAAACTACTAAAACTTACTTAAATATTCAAGTTAGAGCTTGTAATTAGTCTCTATTAGCTAGACATACTCTGTGGCATTTTACATATTTATCTCATAAATCTATCTTTTTTTCAAAATGTTTTTTGAATCTGATTTAAGCAACATAAGCACCAATCATTACTTTTCCAATGATAATTAAAAATGTAAAAACCATATGAATAATTCTATCCATCCCAATAACTTTATTTTTCATCTATCTATGTTGTAATTTTTTTACCTCATTATTATTAATAAATTTCACCAAGCTGTTTGTGTCATTTCTCTTTTCAATTTAGGAGCCATTTAGTTTGTTAAAAAGGAAATTCAGAGTAATGTGAATATACTATATTTGAGATAGTTTAGAATGATTGGTTAGTTGTAAAATAAATATTGGAGATTAATTTTTTTATGTTTGGTTGAAAGTTTAGATGGTGGAGGCGATGGGCAGTGGGTGGCAACAACGTAGGGATTAGGTCAATCACCATCGTGGCAGATTGCTGGTAGCGAATTTTAGCAATAGCTACCATCACAGATGGGTGGTGACGGGTGCCTGGGCAAGTAGTGGACCAATGGCTCTAATGGTCGATTATTGGTGGCGGCGGCAAGATGGTTTTGTTTGTTTCAGTAGGTGATGACTTGCGATGGTGGCTGGTAGCAACTGATGGTTAAGGGTGGCTGACACCGGCGTCCGACAATTATCGGTGGATGACGGTTGGCTATGGGTGTCAAACTCAGCCAAATTGGGTGAGTTTGGAATACACCACAAATAAAGCATAGAGCGAGTTTGGAATTCCTTAATAAATTACTCTGCATTTGATTTAATTTAAACCAAACACCTATATTCTCAAAAATTTTGCATTTCAAGTACATCACACCAATGTTACTTTAGACTAAGCGACCCCTTAGTATATTTTAAGCATAAACATTTATATTCTAAATCATTCATCATTCTTATTAGCCGTATCCCAAATATTTAAGGCAGGTTTTATAAATCCTTATCTTCCATTCATTCCTATTGAGTTTTGCAATCGGTTTTAGTGTTAAAATAATTCTGTGCAATTGTTCTGATTAACTTATATCTATATTGCCTTAGATGTACCATCTACCTATTTTCTTTCTTAATATTTTGACCTTAATTTGTTGCCAATCTGATTGCTGCATTTTTTTCCATTGTTGTACACATCTAAATCTCTCATTCCTCAATAATATTACTTTTTTTTTTGCTACTTATCTATCTTGAGGTTCTCATTTCTCTTGTTATCAATGACATTTATACTTCTACAATCAGATCTAGATAACTTAGTTAATCAAATTCTACTTGCATTGTTTTAAAGTCTACTTTAAAGTCTCCATTGTATTTTCTTGCAGGAGAATGCATATGATGCAATTTTTTATTCAATCACCCAAAAATAAATTTAGAAGCTGTTGATGTAGACTGAGAGGAATAATTTGTGGTGGAATGACTTAGTCTTGCTTCTAAAGTTTTGAGAGGGTTTTGGACATTTTAGGAGGGCTTGGGTCGAGCTGTTGGTTAGGTTTTTGCGGAGTTTATTATGGCAAACCTCTGGAAAGTGAATTATTTGTGGACTTAGGGTTAGAATTACTACTCGAGTATGTATGGGTTGGGCTTGGCTGGGACTTGTAACTAGGATTAGGGTTATAATTTGTTAGAGATGGAGAGGGAAGGCTATAGGAGGAGTTAGGATGATATTAAGGTTCAACTTAGGGTTTTGTTAAGATCAGTTTTAAGTTAGAGTTGAAACCCAAAAAACCTAGGATTATGATTATTTGTGGGGAGGCCTTAGCTTAGCTAGGGTTTATGAAACATTTTTTTGTGCCTTAGGGTAGAAGGGAGATAGATAAGACAAGGATAGATAGTAGAAAACATCAACTAAGGCTTATTTCAAATGCTCGATCGCAAAGTTAAACACATGAACAAACATTTTTTTCGTTTCAATAATCATGCCAAATATCTTATTCATTCATTCAATTGAGGTTTATTTACAATGCTTATAATGTTTAAATCGAGTTAGAAACATATGCAACTCACCTTGGCCTAGTGGTCGAGAGCTTTATTTTTTAAACAAGATGTCCTGAGTTCAAAGCCTTGCATATGTGGTGGCGTGCATGTGTTTGGGTGGTCCCTGGGTTCATAGCCTTTGTGTTGTGTATGCATTTGGGTGTTTGTGTGTGAGAGAATTTTATAAAACAATGAAAGTGATAGTAGCAGTTAACCACCCTTGGATTATGCATGAATTTTATTGTAAACTTCCTTGACATGTGTAGAAAGAAGTTAAATTTACAGATGAAACTTTGTTTTTTCCTTTGAATTATGTAACTACTTTGCATTTGAACTTAAGGTAGGCCACATTTAGCTTGGATATGGACGGTCAACGAAAAGTTTCCAGACCAGCTTTCCAACCTACTTTTGAAATTTAAAAATATAATAATTGTTGGAGTAAAAAAAAAGTATCATGCAAGGTTTTGGGAGATGATTTATGAACTATTTGTTGTGCTGTATCAGTTATACTGTCATTTATATAATATGTTTTATATGATAAATTTTTGGTACTCATTCCTATAACACTTCAATTCACTTGATCTCTTAGGAATATTAACTTGTTAATTACAATTATATTAAAATTTGTTATTTTGGACTTAGTTGTTTTTATTAATTCTGTCATGTGTATTTTAAATATTTTTTACATTATTCTGATGTCTCTTCGATTAAAACTACTCCACTTTTGTATTTATAAGCATCTTTGTAAACAGCATTAAAAAAGATTCATCATTGTTTCTTTTTTGTTCACTTGAATGTAGCTTTTAATTGTAATCTATAATCTCGTAATATTTTCAACAAATTCAACTCACCTTTGATAATTTTTTTTAATCTTAATGAACAAGTTAATTTTTGTAGTGTTGGATCTTATGCTTTCTTAAGATCAATACGAATAAAATGTGGATTTTTTTTCTTTTAATTTTTCCGTCAGTTTTCTTAAGGCAAATTTTTGTTCAAATTTTAATATTCTAAAATGATATATTTTTTTTTGAATTCAATGCTTTATTGCTTTGCCATAATTTCACTGTATAGCTTTTAGGTTTAATTCCTCTATAATTGCCTCAATTTTAAACATTTTTATTCTTACATAATGTTACAAAATGCTTCCATTTCTATTGTTTTCTGCCCTTTTAGGCTTTGAAATTTTGTTAAAAAGAATTTTTAGTCATACTCATAGTCAAATGATTGCGATGTCTCTCCCGCCTTACCAAATCTCAATGGGTATCTTCCCAATACTTTAATTTCTGGCATTATCTTCAAAATTAACTCTAATTCATTTTTTGGGTCAATCTATAGTGAACCTTTTTTTTTTTTTGAAATAATTTCTTTCTTAAAATTCTTACTTTTAATTTGTTAAAATAAAATTTTCATCTTGTTTCGATGTTTCATTTTTTTAACTAAGATGACATCATTTTCCTTTTTAATCCATCCAACATATTAGAATGTCCAGATTGCTTATTTCGTGTCTTAGCTATTAAGTGATATATTTTCTTCTCTCTTTCTTTAGTTCCTAACATATCATATTTCTTTAGTTCCTAATATATATATGGCGGACGAGAGCTCTGCTAGGGTTTCAAATGTTTCGAATAGCAATTTCTGTCTCCATTGTTTTTGTCACTCGAAGGATTCCTTGTTTGCTTTCGCTCGCTTTTCTGCT